CGTTTCGAATCAAGTGGAGCAGTGGAATATAGTAAAAAATGTATAAATAATCCAAGTGTTAGCAATGAGGCGAATCAGTTGGAGGTTCTATTAAAGTTGCAGGAAAATCCCCATTTAACTGCACGGCAAATTGGAGCAGAAGCTGATATATGCAGAACTTCTGTCCAAAGGAGAATTCACAAGCATAGGTACCAGCCAATCACCTATGCTTGCATCAAGGCCTTCGTCCTCAGGATTTCGCAGCTCGAATGGAGTTTACTAGAATAATTCTAAATAAAGTGAGTGGATAAGGTTTTTTTTAGCGATGAGGCAACTTTTAACAGCATAGGCACAGGCATAACATACACTATTATGCGACGGTTAGGCAAATAGATTTCCAAAATAAATGGAGCTCGAACGTTTGGGTAGGAGTTACTGGCAGAGAAGTAATCGCGCCAACAGGTTAATAGGTACAGAATACTTGAATTTTTTGATCGAGCATTTGCCTTTGCTTTTGGAGGATGTCAACCTGCAAACTCGGATGCATATGAAATGTACTTCCAACATGACGGCGCACCTGCGCATTATCATAATCGTGTGCGTAACTATTTGGACACCTGGAGTAACAATCGTTGGATCGGTCGTGATGGGCCTTTATCTTGGCTTCCTAGATCACCAGATATGACTCCGATGGACTTCTTTCTATGGGGCTACGTTAAGCAGAAGGTTTATAGATATCCACCATCTACTCCGTAAAATATGAAGGAAAGGATTAAGGATGCTTTTCTGAACATAAGGGAACACATGCTGAGGGATGTGCAACGGTCATTTATTCAGAGTACGGCTGTATGGCTGTGTATTCAACATGGTGGAGGTATTTTCAAGCAGTTTTTGTAGATTAGGTCTTGAGCAGTGATAGTTGTTTGTTTACGTTGTTATTGTTGTTTTTCTCTATTACGCTTGAAGCTGATTTATACTGTTCAGATTGTTATTAGTTTTTACGTCAAATCTGTACTCTTAGTTTCAATATGGAACTAGCCCACTGTTTGTCTCTTGTTTCGATGGATAATGCGATTTTTTCCCTTAATTTTGGTGTGTTTCTATTAAAAGCTTAATAACTCAAAATCTAGTGATTTTATCTGAATCAAACCTTAGACCAAAAAAAGGTTATGAAAAATTGTATCCAAACTTGCACAAATATACAGGGTGATTTTTGAGAAAAAGTACAATTCGCGTTTTTGACCACCCTGTATGAGCAAAAATGATAATTCGAAAAAGTAACAAATAAGATAAAGGCTAAGGTGTGTAAGTTTCTTTTGATACAAAATTCAGCACTCCAAATTTCAAAATGGTGGATTGAGGGGTTGCCGAAGTGGACGGTTTTTCTGGACAAAAGACCTTACATCTCAGTAGCTAATTACCAAAACCCCATAGGATGCTATATCAATTTTCTTCTCTTGAATTGGTTTATCCAAATATGCAATAAACTTTGAGGCATTCCATTTGCAAAATCACAATATTTTGGAAATGTGACCTCAAACGTCATGTATAACATGCCATAAATAGATTTTCCCAAAATGTATTTGTTAATGAGTATTATTCCGTCAACACGTGGATGGGCCACCCTGATTACCAGCCCCTTTCCACTTCAGTTGACCCACTTCAAGAGTTGTACCAAAATATGCCTTTATAAACTAAACATGACGAAACTATTTACTTCTAAAACAATTTATTTTCTCAAAAACATTTTAGATACACTCTAGTCGTAAACAATACATATTTGAAATCACTTAGACCTATAGCTAATAGAACATCTGAACAAATAAACAATGTGCGAATAAATGCGCGAAGTTAACAAAGTAACAATTGAAAGATTACTATTGGTTAACATCACCTTTATTTTTTATTACGGCTGAAATTCTTTGGGGCATAGTGTTAACCAAGTTTTGGCAAAAATTTGGTGTAAAACAATCCCATATTTCTTGAAGCTTTTGTCTCAGTTCGGTGATTGTACGAGCAGGTTGTTGTCGAGCCACAAAGTTTCATTAGTTGACAGATCTGGACTACTAGAAACCCATTTCAAAAGTGGTACATTATTTTCTTCCATCCATTTTATAGCCTTTTTTGAGGTTTGGCACGCTGCACCATCTTGCTGAAACACAAAATCTTGGCCGGATGTCAAACATTCTTCCATCACTGGTAAAAGCGATTCTTCTAAAATTGCCAAATATTTGTTTGTATCCACATTTCCATCAATAAAATGAGGTTTTCCTGCTCCTCTTGATGATATACTGGCCCAGACCATAATGGATGCTGGAAATTTCACTTTTCTCTTCAGACAGCGAATAACTCTACTGCGACTGTCACCAACACAAACTTCGAATCGGGCCTCATCACTCAATTGTATTGCACACCATTGTTGAGGAGTCCATTGTCTATGTTCTTTAGCCCATCTAAGCCGATTTTTCTTTTGCAGTGGAGTTAATAGTGGCTTTTCTTTGGCCTATAAACAAGTTGTGCAACTTTAGGGTTTTTACTTCACTTTTTTTTATAAGAAAACTTACCTTGCAAGTGCTAAATCCCAGTTTGTGGGCCACTCTATGAGTTGTGGACCTCGAAATTCTCCTTAAAACAGCGTCACTCCACAGAGCACTTAATTGTAAATAATTGGCACGCCTGCTTTTCAGGATTATTTTTCTTAATGCTCTTCAGTTACGTTATAATATGTTCTAACAATATTTCTCACACTGTACCGCGATAAGTCTAACAAATGTATGACTTTGATTTCCCCGAATTTTTTAAATTGAATTATCAGTAACCGAATTTTCTCACTAATAACCTTTCCTCTACCCAATTTGAAAACCTTAACTACCCAAAACTATTTTAAACGTATTCTGACAGCTGTGATTGATAAAAACAATTGTCATGGCTTTTATTTTTCACAGCCACCTATGCGTTATAGACTTATTTTGCATTGAAATGAAAATAGGTTGATATGCTGTAACTGCAACATGTGTTATTTTTATGCTGCAAATTTGATTACGGAGTGATAAAGTTGGTGTTTTCTACTATACGTATATATTATCAAAATATTCATTGTTAATATTCTAAACCTATAACACCCTGCTACATTTTTATTATTTGTTTGATAAGAAAAAAAATAAGATTTCAATAGTTGGGCCAATTGAAGTGGGAAGGGGTTCGTATATATATATATATATACAGGGTGACTTTGAAGTTGAGTCATTAATTTTCAGATAATGATTGTAGAAGGAAGATAAACCAAAATATATGTGTAAAAATAAAAAAAAAAATAAAAAAAAAATGTTACCTTGTTTTATAAAGTATCCTCCCGACAAGTATTTCAGTGCGGACCTGTATTTGATCGTGAGGTCTTGGAGCACCGGCATGCCGTCCATATGTGAGGTCTTAAGTCACCTGATTCACGAACCCATTGTACTACATTAACAAAGGCACGAGGGGTTGGTTGCACTCGATTGGGAAACCGATCCGCATAAACATGTGCCATTTTTTATTTCGCTTGAGCCACGCAACAGACACCACTATTCACTACCGACTGACACTGACTGTATACAACTGAATGAAATAATTGTAAAAACATCGTTCCAAATTCTTTCGCTTTTTTGTTTCCGATGCGATGAACCGATAAGGCGCATTATATCCGTTGTCGCCAAACACGAGCACATAATATTATTATTGAGACAGGGCGGTACTCAAACTTCCAAAGGGCTATAACTTTGTTACTTTAATTTTACCAGAAAAATGGTAAAGGAAAAAAACACTTCTTTTGATCAGATCTACTCACTGTTAAAATAAATGACTCAACTTCGAAGTTATAGCCCTTTGGAAGTTTGAGTACCGCCCTGTCTCAATAATAATATTATGTGCTCGTGTTTGGCGACAACGGATATAATCCGCCTTATCGGTTCATCGCACCGGAAACAAAAAAGCGAAAGAATTTGGAACGATGTTTTTACAATTATTTTATTCAGTTGTATACAGTCAGTGTCAGTCGGTAGTGAATAGTGGTGTCTGTTGCGTGGCTCAAACGAAATAAAAAATGGCACATGTTTATGCGGATCGGTTTCCCAATCGAGTGCAACCAACCCCTCGTGCCTTTGTTAATGTAGTACAACGGGTTCGTGAATCAGGTGACTTAAGACCTCACATATGGACGGCATGCCGGTGCTGCAAGACCTCACGATCAAATACAGGTCCGCACTGAAATACTTGTCGGGAGGATACTTTATAAAACAAGGTAATATTTTTTAAAAAATTTTTTTTCTATTTTTACACACATATTTTGGTTTATCTTCCTTCTACAATCATTATCTGAAAATTAATGACTCAACTTCAAAGTCAACCTGTATATATATATATATATATATAGGAAATGAGTAAATTCAAATCATGGCCTATAAAAAGCGAGGTGACACAAATAGTTGTACACTCATATGTTACGAGAGTATTTAAAAAATGTATGACATCGTATGTGAGCTTATACTCGTACAAACAAACTACACTCAAAGGTAGCTGCATGCGATGGAGATGTGAATGTGAATTTTACATGGGTTCGTCAAAATCGATGGAAAGGCCTATAAAAGCATGCTTGTACGACGTAGTTATGAATCGTCCTGTAGAAAGAGGCATACTTCCAAGCATTTTTTAATAACTTGTTCAGATATCATTTATATCTAACAGAAGTTAGTAAGTTGAGGCGGGTGAAGATTAAAAGTGGATCGAAAAGTTTACAGGTAAGCACCCATGCCGAAATTTTTGTCGGTGAGGAGGAGAAGGGAAAGCATAGCTGCCCCCAAACTTTTTGAAGATCGGGGGGTAACAAATTTTCTGAGAACTGACTTCCTAAGGGATGCCACCCCCTGGCACCTCCCGGCGGACACCCATGTTGGCAAGACCTATATTATTATTTTTGAGGCTCTCCAGTTATCAAATTTGCTTATTCAATTCCAGCCAGGGCTAGAAGAGATGGTTATACTTACCGATTTTCCGACAATTCCAAGAGCTGCCAAACCGACTCTAGGCCAGTCGTACGGAAACTTTCCTTTTGGTATGAACAGTATTCCCAAACAGCAACCAGCAAGAATGAAGTAAGAAGTGGATATAGTGTATTTCCTTCCGTATCTACTAATCAGGTAGATGCATAAAATTGTCCCGGGAAACGCTATCAAACCACCTGTCGACACGGTGAGAAAGATATTCGTGCTGACGTGTCCGATATATTGAGAAAAAGCGTAGAAGGTAATGCCTGTTAAGCCCCTAAAATCAAAAATGTAAAGGGTAGGTATTGCTACTTACAGGTAATGGTAAAGACCATACCTTTCATCAGAAATCCGTAATGAAAATATGAATAGGGATGATGCAAAATTGTCGTTTACGTTTCTATTTCACCTAGGTATGATTTCTAAAGTTGCTCGAAGCGGAACGTACTTCGTCCAAACAATTCATTCCAGCTATGGATCTACTACTACCATTTTCATCTTTGTTCTTGCTTTACGATTGTTTTTCAAATTTTGTGTATAATTTTTTTCAGAGTTTTAGATGGTAGTCTCAAACATTTTAAACCTATTTTTAAAGCTTCAATACACATTTGGTATCGCATGGAGAAAATACATAAATGTTTATTTTGTAATGGCTCATAAAATATATGGAAAGACATATTATTTTTGATAGTAAAAGTAGGAAAATAAGTCTTTGAGATTTTCCTAGCGATATCCATGTTTATTAGTCAATGATATTGAAAAATACACGAAAAGGACGATTACGCTATTTTCAAGCTGTTTAAGGCGCAAACAATTTTTTTGCACTATTTTTTAAAATCCACGATTTCGAGAGGTCAAACAGTATCCATGTTTTTTATGGGCAAAATGGCATTCTTTTAATTTTTTTTTGTGGCCCATCACTTTGAAATTCTGTAAGAAAGATCGTAATAATTAAACTAAAATGTTATGTTCGTCGTTCGAAACGTTGAAGGTTTAACTTTTTTCCACGCTATGTAGACCATTTGCTATTTCGAAAGCATCATCATCCCCCATTCCCAAGATTTATGGTCCCTCCCTAAACTCAAGTTCCATGTATGCGAATGAATATAAATAATTGTAACAACCTTTCAGGAATATTCTGACATAACTGACGTTTCGGTTCCGAATATTCCATCCTAGTACGGATTCATCTTAAGTCTAAATGTAACCATCGTGCCAATGGGAGCGCTCAGATAACTCAAAACGGTCCAGCGGTGCAGCGCCTTTGTACTAAATAGCAGTAAAGATGGCATACAGTTGTCAATTTGACACTGGTTTTCACTTGGCTGTCAGATTTGATAGTATGTTTATTAATGCTGTCGTCTATTCTTCTTTGTCTGTCAAGGTGGTCCATAGGACCTTTGCTTAGACACCAGACAAAGTCAGGGTTAAAGAAGTGAAGAAGAAAGAAAGGTCGGAAGGAGGGAGAGCAAACAAGAAAGAAGTGCCTCAATTTGAGGGGTGCCTTGACATTGCTAACTAGAATTCGAGAATTTTGAGTTGATCCTAAAATTAGTTTAGAGACTGGTTGTTGAGGAAAAATTATAATCTTGGTTGGATCGAAAGTCGCACGATTTAATTTTTTCACAATGCGATCCGCGACGTAGTGTGCTTGCGAACTTGCTCGACTGTGTAGTGACTGTAGCACTGCCTCTTCACTTTAGTCCTTTAGATAAGGGATGTCGACATATCATGGAACGCTAGTGATTATACGCAAGGTTCTGTTCTGCAAAACCTGCAGACTACGCAAATGCGTTTTGGTGGGAAAAACAAAGCCGCACTTTCTTAAGTGATCGCTGGTCAAATAACCATCTTGTTGATCAAACTTGATTTTGAGATTCTGCATAGCATAGGGTAGAGTTGCCGAAACGTTATTTGGAATTTAATTTTGAACGCTTCACTGTGCTTCTGCCAGGTCTTCTACCTGTCAAGAGTGACACCGAGATACTTAGCAAACCTCAGACGGGGCGCCGTTACGTATTTTAGTAGAATAGATAGCCTGCGTTTTCGAATGAATAAGTTTGATTTCAGCCAACGATTCACCCATACCAATACCTCGTCCACAGCACTTTGCAGCCTCCAGATATTCAGAACACGACATGGCCACCAGAGCAGCATAGAGATTTCACAGTTGCTGGGGCAATGGACGAAACAAATAAAAAGTGAATGAAGGATTGGTCCAAGAACCGAACCCTGAGGGACACCGGCTTTGATGGGCCGTGTTCTCGACAGAACGTTATTAATTTTGATCCGAAATTTCCTACCCTCAAGGAAGGATTTCAAAAATTTTAGGAGCCAGAAGTGGAAGCCCTCATGGATCAATTTGTGGGGAGGCTCTTGTGCCACACCTTGTCAAATGCCTTTGAGACACCCAGAAACAAGATGCCAGTACCTTTTTACGGTTACTCGCTCTACAAGCCTAACCGCCTGTAACTCGGTACTATGCCAAGTTGCACGTTAGGAATAACATTGTGTTCTGACGAGAAATTTTCAAGGTGTCGCAGAATCACCTTTTCAGTGAGCTTAGAAGGAGCTGACGGTAGACTAATGGGACGGTAATCCTGGGGGAATATCGAAGCTACCTTCTTTGTAATCATTATAATGGTCCTCCACACCACTGGAAAGTACTGAGTCATCAGCATAACATTGATTATTGCCACAAGATAACTTAAGGATTTCTGCGAAAGCAGCTTCAGTGCCTTATTAGTTATTCGATCCTCTCCAGGTCCTTTACGCACCTTGAGGACTTTAATATGAAATTGAAGCTCTGATTTTTTTTATATTGAAGCAGCCGCGCAGGCAGAAGCCTAAATGCCGGAACACCGGGGCTGCTATGATGATCTCAAACAAATTTTGTTAACACGATTTTTGAACTGCCTAAGGTTAGTAGAACTGGGAAAAGCTTCCTCTTGTAGATTGTTCCGTCCCGACATCCTCGGGACAAAGGAGCGGTCGTATCGGCCAGTTCTGGATGGACGAAGTTCGACGCGGTTGGGATGGGACTTCAAAGTCAGGCGGGTCTGCCTGCTGAGGAGCAAAGCCCGATGGTGTAGCGGTAGAAAAGAGCTAGATCGCCGACGGCCCGTCGGTGCGAAAGGGTCCCGAGACTGTCTGTTAGAGAAGAGTCATCTATCAGTCGGACCGCCCTCCTCTGGACAGCATCGAGCATGGATAATGTAGTCGGGGCAGCAGCACCCCAAACGTGTGAGCAATACCCGAGGCTAGACCTTATCTGGGCCTTGTATAGAGTGAGAAGGTCATGCGGAGAAAAATACTTCTTAGCCCTAAACAAATAGCCTAGCTTTTTCCCAGCAGCTGCAGCTATTGACGAGATGTGTTCGTGCCAGATCAGGTCCTCGGTGATCTGGACTCCGACCAGCCGAAAGGAATGGCTACTTGGCAGAACTCGGCCATCCATCGAAACCGGATGAGCGCTAGGACGCTTTTTGTTCGTTAAAGTACAGTACTATGTATAGGAAGCATTGAACTGTACAAGATTGTTGCGTCCCCAAGCAGTGATAGCCTCCAGGTCTCTTGTCAGAGAGGAAGTCGCGGCTAGTCTTCTTCTTTCCAGCTCAGCGGCAGAGATCGGCTTGTCACTCTGAATTCCTGCATGTAGAGTGCTGTCATCAGCGAAGCTGTGGATTGGGTTGATCGTGCAGGAAAGGAGGTCGTTGATATGTAAGAGAAAGAGTGTCGGAGCCAAGACCGATCCCTGGGGAACACCCGCGTTGACGTTGTGGGATGAAGAGGAGAACCCGTCAATTACGACGGATATCTTGCGGCCAGAGATAAAGTCAGCCACCCATCTGCAAAGCTTTTCTGGAAGGCGATAGGATGGACATTTGTTTAAGAGGGCAGCGTGCCACAGCTGATCGAACGCTTTCGTGATGTCAAGAGCAACGACATGAGCCTCACCATAAGACTGGATGAGCTTACTCCACAATTGCGTGACGTAGGTCCCCTGTGGATCGTTGGTGCCAGAAACGGTACTGCCTGTTGCTAATCAAGCTGTGACTTTCGAGGTAGTCCAGAAGCTCACGATTTATGCACCTCTCCATCACTTTACTTATAACAGAAAGCAGAGCTTTAGGCCTGTAGTTGTAAGGGTCGGTCTTAGATCCTTTTATGGGATGGGTTGGACATGAGGAAAATTTTCAGTTTTCTGGGAAGGTGCCGGATTCATAAGATATCTGGAAGAGACGCGAAAGAACTGGAGCAAGCTCCGCTGCACACAGTACAAAGGCAGGAATCAAGTCCGCACCAGAAGCTTTGTTGATGTCGAGTGACAATAGCACTCGTCTTACGGTCTTATGCCTGAATGTTACCTCCCGCATGGTGTAGGGGACTCTTTGAATTGACGGCACGTGGGCGTTGGGAGGGGACGTCCATGGTGGAGTTGGCAACAAAGATCTTGGCTAGCACTTCCGCCTTGGCCTTTGAGTCGAATACAATAGTTCCATCCTGGCATGTAAGTGGTGGAAGGCTTCTTTGTGAGAAGTTCTTTTCAATCTGCTTGGTCAGCGTCCAGAAAGACCGGCTACCATTGCACTGAGACATTACTCTGGGCCTAACTTTTATGTCGTGCTGGTTTTTGGCATTGTGAACCGCTTCATTATATTTGTTTCTGGACTCGACGTCGGCTTGTCTGTTCTCTACAGTGGGGTTTTGTAAGAAGGTTCTGTGTGCCTTGATCTTCTGCTGGCGAGTAGTGTCACACGATTTGTTAAACCAGCCGGTGGACCCTGGTTTAGGCACTTTCACTGTGTGAGGGATGTATTCCTCCATTCCGACGTGGATAATTTCGGTTATTGAAGAACAGACAGCCGACGCATCCGCGTCAGTGATTCAGACATCTCTCCAAGGAAAGCTAGAGAAGAAGTCTCTGAGCCCCTCCCAGTCCGCAATGTCCGTAATACCAAGTTTTGCGGCCTGTACGAGTTTCTGCTGCCACAGCGGGTTCTGACCGAAACCTAACCTCCACAACACCGTGGTCTGAGTTACCCAGGGGGGAAGGACAGCAGTGCTGTAGGGGACAGGATGCGTGGTCAGAAAGATATCCAGCAGGCTACTGGCATGTGACGAGACGCGGGGGAAAAAAGTAGGGCTCGTCTGATGTTGTACAATGCCGTTGGCCCTAAACTATCTCCTGACGGATCTTACAATGTGTTGCTTCTCGTCGTGGTCATTATCGAGGTCATAGTTGGGGAACAACTGACTTTTCATTACATCAGCAAAAACCTCGACCTTTTCCTTTGTGCTAAAGACTATGCCCCCAGGATCGTGGATGTGCGGGAGTTGTCCTCGCTTTCCATGTCTGAGCGACTTTGCAACTTTCCAGACAGGAATACTTGAGTCAAGCATCCTCGCCAGAAAGTCGCTCCATAGCTTATCATGGAACTCATGAAGAGCATTTCTCACTTTATGAAAAAGATTCGCCGCTCTTATTTTAGCTTGCTTAAATGCAGACCTTTTTCAAAAATTTAATAATGAATATCGAGAGAGAGAGAGAGAGAAAGAGAGAGAGAGAGAGAGTAATGTTGTGATACTATCAATGCTATTTTCACAGCTACTGATATTCCGCATAAAAGCACAGCACCTATTTACCGCCTTACGTTGGCTGATCGCTCTCGTGGCTTGTTGGTACTCTAAGTGACATCTGTCGTAGGTGCCCTATAAAATAATTGTTCGATCAGTGATGACTTTGGTAATGCTATGAGTAGATAACAGAAGTCACGTCATCATAACTGTGGCCCCGTTTTAACTATATTGATTGGACAGTATAACTATAGCGCCACCAACAACTTTCGGCTTTCTTTCGCTCGGTTCATTTGTAACTTTATATTCATTACTTACAGGGACGAATTTGTTGAATGAATTGGAATAAGCTCCATATTTATTATTTTTCTTTGTTTTACCATCACTGTCAGTTATATTAAGAAAAACGAAAATTGTTGGTGGGAATAGTCCTACTATAGAGTTATACTCTCCAGTATAACTATAAACAGCCTGAAACTGCACTTCCTCCAAATGAATTGAGTTGTTCCAATTTTTTCACATACTGCGAACTATTTACAGCGAATCCTTTAAAACGAAAGCAAAATATCGTATTTCATAATTTACTCTTTTCTGAAATTTACCAGTTGGTGTATAAGATGATGCTCCGTTTCCTCAATTTTGGTGTGCTGAACAAAGCAGCAAGCGAAGAGTTTGTAGCTTCTTTGTTTGATTTTGTCGAATTGGATATTTCAATCATGGAAGTTTCAATAATTCTCGGATCTATTCTGTTCACCGATGCAGCTCTACGGAGTATGGTAATTGCCTCCTCTTTTCTGCCTGCTGCTATCAACCACCTCGGTGATTCAGGAATACACCTAAAAAGGAAAAAGATTCCTTGTCAATAAAATATAAAAAGCTTTGAAGATACATGTATGGTTTGAGTGGTATAATAGCGTAAGCTAAACTTCTTCCAAATAAAGATATTATTATTATTGTTAGTATAGAGAAAACAAAGGAAAATAGGCAATGTGGCCTCGGGCACACCAAGTTGCCGTTCCATTACCATCTAACCACCCCTCACACCGTGAGGTAAGCAACCAGTTGGTACATAAATCGTGTGCCCTAAGGAGACGGAGGGAGCTGAGGCTAAGTGCTTCTTGCACTCTTCCGGCTAAGAAGCTTGCCGATGGTCGGTATACCGGTATGGATTCTATTGCAGAGAACAGTGTATTTCTCATCCCACCCAAGGATCCAATGTCCATAGCTAGCAGAGACTGATAGTTTCGTCTGACCAAAGCCTGCGAAGCTGACTGAGGAGCTTCTGATGCTTGGTCCGAGACAATGCTCAGTTTGGCCGGAGTCGAAAATCCAATAACGAATATCGCCTTCTGTTTATGGTTGAGGTTGACTATGTCGGGCTTATTCGACTGCACCAGCTCGACCGTGGGGAACGAAAAATGGAGAATAGGGCAGCTTAGATGTTTCAAATATACCGTACGAGTGCCTCAAATGGTAGTACAGCACTCACAGAGCTGCGTGGTACCGATAGACGTGAGCGTATACTTCGCATGCTGACAAGAGGTGCTTAACACCCAGCACCAGTATATCAAGGTATTGGAGACATCGTTTTCATTTTGTCTAAGTGCACATGTGTATTCATGAACTTTTGTGTCGCATATTAGGCCACAAATACGTTGTCAGGGGTATTGAAAAACCAGCAAAAACATGCACCATCGGTCAGGTTTAAATAGATGATAATTATACTCCGTGACAAAGAAAATAAAGCACTTTTGTATACAGATATTAACAAGAGGAAGTACTGATTGAATTTTTGAAGCGAATACATTTGCTGCATTGCTGGATTTTCAGACATTGGGTCAACGCATTGAGACCAACATTGGCGGCAACTTAGTATGATATGCTATGCTGGACCGGAAAAACACGAAGCATTTACACATGGGCGGGCACTTAGCCAACTTGTAGGATGTGGTACAGGATGCGTATGATAAATAATGCCGTCTGGCGCATCAGTCAGTTGATATCATTGTTTTAGATTTAACTATACAGGTGTACTATACACAGTGTTTTACTGGTGTGATATTCCGCCAGGACATGATCTTTCAGATAATATTATGTAGAAATATTATTTTTAATTTAAAGATATTTTGAGAGGATGTAAGAGATTGAAGTTATATCTTTGATCATCGCAAAATGCAAAGTAACATCATAGTAACTAAATTGTGTGATGTTCGTTTTATGAATTACCAACCAATCCAGTTCATTCACAAACCTGTCTGCCCCCACTGAACATTCTTAAATTCTTAGTTCGTATCACATTCTGTTTTCCTGGAAAATTGTAAGCTTTACTAGGGTGGTCATGGGTGGACTTACAGGGGGCGATGGAAATGCCCAGGCCTGCCATTTTTTCAAGATAATGCTGCGTCTTGGCGTAAAAATTACCTAGACCCCAATTTTGAGACGTCCCCCGCTCTTCAGTTGCCACAATTCAATTGCTCTCAGATGCTTAAGTACTTAAGCATGTTAATTCGCCCCCCCATCAATTTTTAATCCCCCCACACAACAACATTTACGCACATAAATATGATAGTATGTGGCTAAGTAAGCGCTTGGCTATCTACGGTGTAAACATGCCGATGATGATGTAATAAAGCTACTCCAAGAATATGAATTTACAGCCTCGTATTGCAGATCAGTACTTATTGTATTTCTCCGAACTGTCCGGCGTGGATTTTGGACGCATTATCTGACGAATGATCGAATATTACTATGCTGATCCATTAATTATTTATTAGCGAAATCAGGATACCGTAACTTTTTTCACTTTAATCACGACTTCCCGTTGCTTTACGTCTAACTGTATACATTATTTCATTAAAATGAAATAATTTTTACTGGATGTTCAATTTTATTTGTCACTAAGTATACTTTGTGAGCTCCCAAAGATGCTATTAATTTTTTTTTAATCGAACGATACTCACCAAATATAAACGATATAGATACATGCCAAAACTGACAATGTGAAATGAAAATATCTCCAATCCCTGAGGAAATATGCTACTCCAGCCATTATTGAATTTCCAAAGCCAAATGGTATCTGATATAATATAGGCACTATAGTTCTCCATTTTCCGCCTACTATTTCCATGCACATCACGAATGACGTCACTATTGTGCCTCCATTGGAAATGGCTAGAAGGAACCTGCAGATAAGAGTTATAATAATACCTTTAGGATGGACGCAGCAGCAGCCATCTGTAAAGGAAGCTGATATATTGCGAACATGAAAACTCCTCCAGTGGTCTGGAAATCCTATTTTGCCCTTAGAGAACTTTTCATTTAATGTACATATTTAAACAGCTTCTTCTAGAATCCTATTATTTGGAAGTATTTCACTACATTTGATGAGACTTAACGTCATCTTTAGATCAACGGGTTTGAATTCATTACCTGCAAGTGGATAGTCTAATGAAAACAATTAACCGGGTACCTATAAACAAACACTTATTCATCTTCGGAGCAATTTGGAGGTAGTCGATGGATCCACGACACCTAGCTAGGATTACCAAAGACCTATAGTCAATCTATGATGGCTATATGCGGTGCGATACAGAAAAGATAGTGATGCTAAGCTAATTGGTGTCTTAGTGTGAGTTGTATACAGGGTGTTCTTTAATGATATGCGAATATTTAAGGGTGTGAATCTACATGAAAAATTATTGTTAGTTTGCTTTATAAACTATGGTCCAAAAATGTTTCCTTACAAAAACACGGGGTGTTGACGAAAAAAATGGAAATTAATTAATATTTTCAGAACCGCTTCAGATATTTCACTGATATTTAGTACGTAGTGAAAGTTAATTAAGTTGCATATTATTCAATGCAAAAATAATTTTAAGCTTTAACAGTGGCGTGCGTACGGGTATTGACTTCGATATCTTTTAAGAAAAAAATGGTACGCCAACAGTTTTTTGACAAATAAAAATTATCTTTGAATTCCCCGTTCAATTCAAAATAAATAATATATATAAATGATTTCTCTTGAATTGTTTTCGTTCGATGCGCCATTTTTACAGTGGATAGTATTTTTACTGAAAATTAAATTTTTTTACAAAAAACGTTACACTTTGGTATATTCTTATCAAGTTTGTACGCTCCACTATATCAAGTCCTTATCTTTCATACGGCTAAATTTTTGTGTTTATATTTCAAGTAGCACTTGAGTTGAGGGTACTGGAAAGCCTTAAAAGTCGTGAGCAATGAGTGTCGCTTAATACATCAGCTGATGATTGACGTATGTTGCTGCTGCTGCATCCTTCTGACCTTAAAAGTTAAAAAAAATGGAACGATAAGCACACCAATACTTTGTGTAAACTATGACATGCTCATAATAATGATTATTGATGGCTAAATATACCTGCTGATGATGAATCCCCAGTACCATGGTATCCAAGATGCTAGAATGCCAAAGAGTGATTGGAGGAAAATACATACCATTAGTACAGTTTTTCGTCCATGCCTGTCTGCTAGTACCCCAAAAAGTAAATTACCTGCAACAGGATTTAGAAATGAAATTATAAGTTTGCAGGTTACAAATGACTTAATTACTGCTATAGTATTGCGAGCTTAAGTTTTTCGTAATCCAGGACATTTCACTTTTCTGTCGTCTAGGAGTAAAAAGAGTGGGAAGAGAATGATGAGATACCATTCACATGAAGTTTAAAGAATTTCTGTTTTTCCGATTTCTATTTATTTAACAAGTTTTTCTGCCGATTTCAGTATACATAAGCTAAAAATGTATTTAACCATTACAAATGCTATATATATATATATATATAAAACCTGAATTGGAATTTAAAATGGGTTTTCAGATTACTAGAAATTTAAAAAAACAGTATAATTATGTAAAGCTTCTTACAAAAAATGGCGTCAAGTAGGTTGATTCTGCACTTCCTACGCAACCCCGTCATCAGTTCATAAATGATTAAGTTCAGCACAAGTTAAACCCTTTCAGAAGAAATTAGTTACGAACATGTATAATAGAGAAATTAGTCCTTAGACATTCTTTACCTATCGATAGTTACCGTCTGGCATTTCCTTCAGATATCGTCAGGCGCGGCAGAGCCCACCGAGGCATCGCCGTTTGCCGTAGTACAAGCAGAACAATCAAGCAGACCGTTACGCCGGGCGCTGAGCCCAGACAGCAGGAGGGGACGCGTATCGAAAACACTAATCTATCATTTAAGGTTGCAAAGACAAATGTGCGAGGAAACCTATGATGTGAGAAATATGGCTAATAGGTGCATTGAATTATTGCAGGCTCTCTTGCAGTAAGCCTCACAAGGGGTCAGGAGGATGCGTGTCATGTCTGTCTCAATGTCTATTGTAGGTGATGATCATTAGTCTGTTGGGGAAGATAAACGACTGCATAGCTTAGGTGTGGAAACATGCGGACATTCTTAAGACACGCTAGAAAAAGCTAGCGGGTGGTACCGGCCCGGTCGGCTGGTCTACCACCTTCTTTTTGCGTGTTAATGATGTTAAATAGACATTAAGTGTCCTGTTGGCGGACTTGTATCGCCAGCCAGCAATCGGTACTGAGGTATTCCTTAACAAGTGTACAATCACTTGAACGGGAAGACGTATACTGAATACAACAACTTCTGGAAAAAGTATTAGCCACTGCCCCGGTCAATAGGGGAGAAGTGCGAGGATAAGATTAGAATTTCCTATCACAAAAGCTGCACTTATGCCAATCAGTCACGTCTGGGGCCCCTTGCGAATGTTTGGAGGGGTGAGGGGGCTGAGAGAATTTTGTGATGATTTTGTAGAAGTTTTATGGTAGTGAACTGCTGACAGATGTTGGACGGCCAGCCTGGTCAACTGAGCTGAGCATTTCACTCAGTGGTTGATCTTTGTATCGCACCGCGTGTAGTAACATATCCATAGCTACAGATGGCATTGGATCACTGATGAAGAGGTAAACGACCTTTAGGGTAATGCAAAACTGGGAGTTGTAATGTCTAAAGAGGAATAAACTCCCTAGTCACAAGAGTTGAGCCTCTTTCAACGTGAACAGAATGTCACAAGGATCATCACCCATCACGGAGTTGGACTCACTTCATCCATTTGGATTATTCCTTTTCATGCTTGTAGCTAACATTTTTCTCAGCGGCTCTAACTTGTGCTGAACAGAATCTATTATGAACAGAGATGACTGAGTGGCGTAGGAAGTGTAGAGTAAACCTAATTGATGCCATTTTTTTACCTGTGAGTATTCCAATCATCAGAGATATTTGCGATAAGTCTATCAAACGTTGTCGTCCACATACTAGGTTCCACTCCGATATAATTGTTTTAACGAAGACCGACTTGTTATAGCTGAATCCATTTTGGCATGGGACTGTCATTTCGTTACCAGTTAAATCATTCATTAAGCAATATCCAGAATTTAATCCCTCCTAAAATGATAGATAAACTATTTTAAGAAAAGTAGCTTTCTGGAACAATATTATTTCAAGCCCTCTGCAGATGCACTTAAATAAAAGAGATCAACTATAGACATAGAGACAGCCAAAGCACATGCCAGGAAGGTGTTAAATTATCCATTTTCAGAACTTGTGTTACATATTTTTACTGCCAGGATAGTTGAAAGTATGAGTCAAAAAATTCATTAATAATCCCGCCTTTATCCGTTCGACCAACTGAATGACTGTTTCATGCTTGCTGGAAATTCTCGACACTGTATAAGTAAGACAACGAACGAAAACAGAGCAAAAGCAATCTCTACCAGAGGTATGAGATCGATGGAAATATGACAGCACACACATCATCTATTGCCACAATCGACCACTGAAAGCCAAGACATTTTTTTAAAACTTTTAAATTTAAAATCTTCAAACGTTTTCAGTACTATCCCGAACGCTTATGTAATGAATTATTTTCATTTTATTCCGTCAAAATATGCTTAACATCTACGGAAAGAGAAAGTTACAACCCGACATCCACTACTTGTTTTGTGGTGTGTAGCATCTTTTTGTTGCGCTGTTTATCCCACTACAGAGTTAAGGTATTGGTTATTACTCTTCTAATACCCGTTTTACATCAACAATTTCTTCATGAATTTATTCAGATGGGGTCATCCTAATTATGCTTTTGAGGTGTTTACATCAATGGACAAATTCATGGATTATCTGTCAGTACTCAGTGCTGCCAACCACACAATAAATCCTTGCTAGAAACATTTTGAGCTTCTATGTCTGTTGTGGTTTTGATTCTGAGGCGAATCTCATAAACAGAAACCATATTGTTGAATACTGTAGTTATATCAAAGTTCTGTACTTACATTGAAATTTGCTCTATATAATGGACAGAAAAACAAGGTTGGCACCATGGAATTAGGAGTCTAACTTGGCAAAAACAAATTCTGATTTCGTGAAGAAATCGACGAAGAGCTTCGTAGATATATTTGACGTCAAATTCCTGTTTTACACTTTTCAAATTTGGCCATGAACTCAAGTCGACGAAATCCGTGAATTTATTGAAAATGTAAAGCGGGTATAAAAAACTTCCTAGTAAGAAATATAATTTGGTATTTTCTTGTCACTTTTCAGAAAATGTACGGACACTATTTCTGATCAGCTTATATAGCTGGTACAACAACAGCAAATTGTAGTTAGACTATTAGACAAGGACGGCTACACCAACATCGTCGCCCGATAGCCTTATGTTAAGTATTTTTAGACAATTATGTATTCAGTCAGATTAAAAAAATAACAATATTACTAGGGTAAATAGGTCCAGAAATAACATAAAAGTATCTTCGGTATACCTTAGAAACCGAAAGTATACCTCTGAAATCGAAAATGTATTTTGGTAAGGGGGCGTTTTACTTTTGGACCTACTTTCTACCCTAGTAATTTTCCTATTGCTTTTTTTAACCACACTGTATACATATTTGTCTAAAGATACTCAACATCTTCTGAATGGATAACTTCGAATTGAAATTTGGTACATGTGGTAGTAACAGTATATCCGATACAAATAGCCATATATTGTATATACCGTTTAGAATAAATGCGTTCAGTGAATAATTACTATCAAGCTCTAGGAACATACAAATTGTAACGCCCTCGTAACTAGAAAGAACTAGATCATGTGGATATATTTGGAAAAACAGAAGCTTTGTATGTAGCTGAATATTTAAAATCTGCCCCAAAGTTCGACGCATCGACACCGTCTTTATTTGTTCAGGAGCGACATTTGCTTACGACGATGTTATACCTGCTTTGGTGTACTGTTGCTAGGTATCGAATAATTTTTCCATGTTTCATCGTCCATGTAAGCATATTGGGGTAGCTGCTTGCACCAGAAGTTCGTCGGTGGTGCTAGGAACACAATACTTAGTGTGAACCATGCTATAGGAAATTTCAATAACGCCATCAATAATGATATTTTCAGCTGCCATCTTCCAAAGTTTCCGATTGCTGTTGTTAGTAGGTCTTGTTCTTCTTTATCCGAATTGGCTGAAAGTTAAATTCGAAGAGATAAAACTCATAGCTATTTTCAGCTTTTTGGCGATTACATAACAATACCATAAGGAATAAGCCTAGAAATAAGTAAACAGGTCATAAAAGTCATATACGATAGTTATCACGTGTTACAAGATTTGGTATTTTTGAAATTATAGGCGATAATTATCGCCTATTATTGGTTTGTAACCCGCATACACTACACCGAATTATGGACGAAATACTGACTTTTATTGTTTTTTTTTCATCTCATAGAAGGCTTTTGATTGTTTTAAAGCATCCTAACTATAAAAATGAGTATAGTGGAAAGAAAAAAATAAATTATTTTTATTTACATAGCCGAATATACATATAAGTACTTGCTCTTGATTCATGCTGCCGTCAACGTTGTTGGCCATCCATAACCTATTTAGTAAACTGATGGCGACTGAGGAAACCAAATTGCCCATAGGTTACTGAAATACGTTTATATTGCATTTTATTGTTCAAAAAATACAAAAACCCACTACCCAGCAGTTATCAAAATCAACTAACTTTATCACCTTATCCAAAAATGTATTATGCACTTCTTCACTAATGATATTATTAAAAATTATTACTATATTCACTTTGCATAGTAGTATTAAATACAATTTCATAAAAATATCCAATTTTAATGAATAAAAGTATTAAATGGAAGCTGAAATAGCAAAATAATCAAAAAAGGTTTGTCTGGGCCGGGACTTGAAACACTTCCAAAACGTAAGTTTTGTATGCAATGAACAATATTTTCAGTTATAAAATAATTATTAGAATTGGGTGTGGTCGGTCACAGCAGTGGGTGCTGCATTCATGTTTAGAAAGATGTTCATTTCGGGGGTGGGGGAAGAGGCAGCAAACTTACGCTCTTAAGCAGCGCTTCTGGGAGCAAGGTAATTTACACCAAGATGCAGCAGTATATACCTACTATTTTCTTGAAAAAAAAGTTGGTGCTCTTGAATTAAGGGTCATGGCACTAAATTTGCTACTCCATCTAAGTACTATGTTGTCGAACTACCCACACATGAGTAAAATGTATAAATTGGTATTACGAACGTTTTTGTAAATAGTAAAAACAGACGAAATTCGACAGCATCTGCTATTATTACCAGAATCGATCACTGATGCGACAGTGAAGATCAGCTGTCTATTGAAGCCTTAAATGCATTTATGAAATATTAAATTTTATCCCCTTAAGTGTGTCGTCTATGGCAGAGTTCTCTTTCATGTATAAGGCTTGTTTGGATATCATGCTATTGTATTTAGGACTAGATATACCAAAGATACGGAAGTAGTCACCATTCTTTTCGACTAACGGTATCCCTTTATATATCTCCATCTCCCTCATGCATACACACAACCTACCCATGTGTATGAACGTTTGTTCGGTAAGCTCAATCATATACGTTTTTCAGTTGTATGACTCCGTTTCGAAAATTTTGTCGTTACGTATGAGGCCCTTCAATCATATTTGTCAGAATGACTTGACATCGGCGTGCAGTTTAAGTTGTTCTGTTATTAATCTTATATATAAAAGTGTACAATGCCCGGAAATAAGATCAATGGAGAAGGCCGACAGCTCGTGCTAAATTTATTAGAGTATTTCCAGGAAGAGAATGAAAATAGCGGTCCCTTGTTATCCACTTCATGCCTACTGGGGAGAGTTGCAGATGCGCAGAAGATTAGTCTGCGCAGTGCTCAGCGAATAAAATCATAAAATAAGAGTAACACCTGAGGATTCTCAAAGATTCAAAAAATGCAAGACCCATGATGTAAGTGATGCCGTCAAAACAGAAGTTAGGAATACTTTCTACGATATGAGAAGTAAAGGACAACATATCACGACCTCTACGCTCAAGATGCGCCCATGGCACGGAGAATCTGAGATCTGAGATCTGTTTACTTATTTCATATGGCGTATCCGCCAAGAACGGTGACTACAACTATAACAGCGTTTTGATTACATGAAAGTACGAATAGGTAATAGGTAGCTATATTTTATTCTATGAAATTAAGCACTTTTCATTCGGCAGTTTCTTGCTTTTAATCACATGCACTTTATGAGTGAATATTCAGTTACAAACTTAGTGACGGTGTACTACATGCACTTATATAAATATAGCGAACACTTGAAAGTAACATTTATGTTTGAAATGAGACACTTACTTAGTAAGATAGCACTACTAATGTTGTAGCGTAAAATCTAAACAAAATAAAACTGTTTTAATATTCTGAATTTAAGGCACTCCTGATAAAAAACAGTTTCTCATTTTAATTTTGAATATTCTTGTATATCAAGCTGTGCGTACCGTTCAGGATCAATGGTATAAAACTCGCTTTTCCAAAACAAAAGCTATTTTTTGCTCACTATCAGCTATCCCTACCGCTACGCATCCCAAATTTACAAAAAATAAATAATAGGTTAAGAAAAAAGTTATAATATGTGTGGCCGTCTTCCTGTATCATTCGCTATAGGTAGTAAGAGAAAAAAGTGTGGATATAACTTACAGGAAGATGAAGACATGGATACTGGTTAATTCTGAAGGCAGTATAATGTTATTAAATATCGAATATTAAGCTGGATATTTAAAGGAAGGTGACACTTCAACTGCACCGCTGCGTTTCTATACAAGCGCTCGCACGCAGTTGGAAATGTAACTGCAAGAAAATGTGAAAGTCGGATGATTAGCTGAGTATTCGCGATAAAAACTTGGTGGTCGTATGCGGAAGAAAAGAGTAGCAATTTATGCAAACGTTTAAACTGCGTTGTTTTCACTTTCAGCGCGCAACAGATGATGGAGCCGCTCACAGTACTCGAACGAATGTTTTATCGTCAATACGTAATCTCTGTAGCCGTTGCAACGACTTTGATGGAAATTGGGGAGCGTTATGCAGTGGGATTAGCGATATTCGTTGTACCTGGTTGGCATACGCGAAAGAAGCATTGCATAGCGAACACTCGAGTTTCAAATAACGAGATTTGGATTTTTGTAACGTCTATGTAACGTTTAAAGTATATCTTCAACTATCGCATAAACTAGCTGGATTGTGCACAAGCGTCTGGTTATTTTTATGAAGAACTTATCATTTGATTGAAATAACTAAAAATATTGGTTAGTTCCTTTTTGTATTATTACAACCTTCCGATATCGTCTGAGTGTAGTCAGAACATTTGGAGTCCACGCGAATGAGTAGGATCCTCGGAAACGTTAAAAAATGAAGTTTGACCGATTTTTATTATTTTCGTTCATCTCTGTGTGGAACCTTGTATCAAAATTCCATCAAAACCTGAGCGGTACTTCTCAAGTTATAGAGAGGTCAAGGATTAGTGGGCAGACACAAAGAAACAGGCAGACAGACGAAAATGAGGGACATGATTTTTCGTGATGTACAGGGTGGGGCAAAAGTCACGAAGGGATTTGAAAAATTAATAACTTTTTTAAATTTATTTTGTTTTCATTTTTTTTTTTCAGGACCGTGTAAAATAAATCCTGGAGATTAATTATGGAGCGTTACAACCTCAATCAACGAACCAAACTTATAGAATTTTATTTTGAATATCACCATTCAATAATTCAAACTCAACGAGCATATCGTCGTCATTTCAATTTGCGGAATTCGCCCTCTGAATCAATGATTCGACGCTTAGTGGCACGATTTCAGCAACAAGGCACAGTTATGGATCTCCCACGAAGCGGAAGGCCACGTTCCGCAAGAAATGAAGGGAACATTCAACGCGTTCAGGAGAGTGTTCAGGAGAATCCGGAAACCTCAACCCGAAGACGTTCTGCTGAGCTGCAGATGTCTCAAAGGTCTTTACGCAGAATATTAAGAGGAAATTTACATCTGTTTCCATATAAAGTGCAGCTAGTGCAAGAACTAAAACCAGCAGATTTTCAAGAACGACTAACTTATGCAGTTCGCTTGCAAAGAATGGCTCGAGAAGATAATGAATTTATTCATTCTCTGATCATGAGCGATGAAGCCCATTTTCATTTGAATGGCTTCGTAAATAAGCAGAACTGCAGAATATGGGGTACCGAGAACCCAAGGGTGGTTCATCAAAGGCAATTACATCCGCTTAAATGTACAGTATGGTGCGTAGTTACGTCTCAACGAATTATTGGACCATTCTTCTTCGAAGACCACGATGGGAATGCTGTATCTGTAGATGGCGACCGATATCGTGATATGATTCAAAATTTCTTAAGACCAGCTCTTGCTGACAATCAAACGATGACTTTCCAACAAGATGGAGCCACTGCGCATACTGCTCGAGCCACTATGCACCTTCTAAGGCAGATTTTTGGCGAACGTTTAATTTCGAGAAATTCAGGATTCAATTGGCCCGCCCGCTCGCCGGACTTAACAGCCCCTGATTATTTCCTTTGGGGATATCTGAAAGGAAAAGTGTATATTAATAAACCCACAACCCTGCAGCAACTAAAAGATAATATTCGAGCAGAAGTAAGTGCTTTGGGGCCAGATATTCTGACTCGGGTAATGGAAAATGCTCTTGCAAGAGCTGCACTTTGCGAGGCTGAAAATGGCGGTCATTTGCGTGATGTAATCTTTCACACTTAAATTGTAAACAAACTCCAAACATTGCATTTTAGTTTTGTGTTAGGGAAAAAAATTAAAATTAAAATTTAAAAAAGTTATTAATTTTTCAAATCCCTTCGCGACTTTTGCCCCACCCTGTACAAGCTGCTTTCCGACCTTAATCAGACTAATAAGTAATTTAAGAAAATACGGCCATACAAGCGGTTCTTTAATAGACCTGTGATGGCTGAAGGTGAGGGAGCTTTATGTGCTACACTTTATTAATTTACACTCATAAGCTCTTGTTTACTTCGATTCCCTGGTTTTTAAAGAACAAGCTGATCCCTCGAAATTCTGTTCCTCAGGCATTAAAATCAATAAATTACAATGACTTTAAAAAACAAATTAAACAACTTATTTTAGAAAAGTACTCACCTACATAGTTTGACCACGCACTTCGCAAATTGTTTGCTTCTCTGTCTGCATTCACATGTATGATTAAATTTTTAATATTTACTATTAGTATATTTAGGTATATGACTTTTACATACTTGTATTTATAATCGTTATTAATATATATATATATATATATATATATATATATATATATATATATATATATATATATATATTAATTTCTCAAGGGTTAAGTGGCAGAATAGCTTCTAGCTAAACTTCGCCCCTTAATAAAAGACGTTTTATAAAAAACATAACGTCACATTTTAGAAATTTTTCGCGTTTAAAATACTTCCACGCCAGTGGCGTAGGAAGTAAAAATAGAGATGTACAATAACAATACCCCTTAAAATGCTTTGGGAATTCGTTAATGGAGGTTTGAGGAATATTTGGGATTTTAAAAACAACTTGAAAACTATCAACTTTAGACAAAAGATCTAAAGCAAATTTTTTGTTCAGAATGTTCTAAAAAATCTAAAATCACTTTGACTGGAGCGAAAAGTCAATTTTGGAATTTGTTTGATTTGTTACTTTTTGGCGTAATCACCAAAAATTGTGAAAAGAACTAAACTAGATTCAACTCAGTATAAATGTAGTGTTTTCTAATCGTCTTATGTCAGTGAAGGCAACCCCGTTCGGTAGATGCAGAGACGTATAAACTGAAAACCAAATACCACTGACGTCGTAATATGTATGAGAGAGGTGCGAGAAGCGTGTATTACGAGTGTTATAAAAAGTTAGAAGAACCTCGTTGTCTAGCAACCCGAGTACGAGGTCACGAATGTGATCGTCGCACTCTTTCTAACATACATACTGCACGCTCCTCGCGCTTCCCTCCCGCACAAATTACGTCAGCCAAATTTGAACCTCATGCGATGTAACCAAAAATTTGCCATTAACTCATCTAGTACCATGCAGAAGGAACCCAAAGTTATTCCACGAAGTACATTTTCTTGGTATAACTACTCTGCGGCTGAACAATGGGAAGCTTAGAGTCAACTTACTTGATTCAGTTTTCTTGAATTGCTATCACATACTAACGACCGACAATATTGTCAGTGATAGAAGATCTTCTAGATCAGTGTTTCTCAAAGTGGGCGATGAGGACCTATGGGGGGCGGTTAACAGAAAAAACATTGGCAAGCGATGATTTGATTTGGGGGCGAAGCTATGGATAATTTGTCTCCGGCACGGGTATTATGTAAAACACCTATAAAATGTAAAAAAAACTAACAGATGTCATCTTGCAGACTATGTAGTTTTTAGGTTGCAAACAGTCATTCTTCGGTTGCTCACTAGTATCTTTGTGAGCGTCCATGTATGGAGGAATGGCTCAAATACACCTATACACGCATTGTTGGTTGCATATGTTTTATGAAGCCGAGTGGTCTATAGTTTTCATCTCTGAGTCTCTGAGAAAAAAGTTGGTTCTTTGGTTCAATAGCAAGATCGCATCTGGATGATTGTGTGTATTGGTCTGCATGTGTATAAAATCAGTGATATTTGATGTGTGAGAAAACCATTACTGAATATGCTGTCAATGAAGTATATCTATTATTAGCTGTGCCCGACGGGTTATTTATATGTTGTCCTTTCGAAAGACAGGTTATGTTCAAAGTTATCGATTACGATGGTTTACGTTTTTTTGTGTTTTCAAGAACTGTGAGGAGAATTATGGGAAATAACCACCGCGCCTGCGTTGTGTGTAATTACTGTTAGCATGAATATTACTAATCGTCCCCTTAGAGCAGAACTATTACATGTCACAAAATACAAATTTTACACGGGAGACATTTTTTTATTTTTTTATAAATTTAATAATTATTGTTTTGCCAAAGTAAGAATAAATAATTAATTTTTTTGTTACTTTTACATTACTATAATCCTATTTGGCAAAAATTGCGTTATTTTAAAAAAAGTGGACATAGAATACCTTGATGACTTTATCTTATTCTAAGTACCAAGGTAGAATACTATATACATTTTTTATTGGGACATAGAATGGTTCTTCTTGGATGAAATAAAACAAAGGTTTTTATAATTTATTTTTTATTTTCTATTACAACTATAAGTTTGCAGAAAGCACATATGGTAATATTAAGGTAATTATGTAAGAAATAAAAAAAACATTAAAAGTATGCTCAAGTGAACTTTTAAATATCATTGGCGCCAATATACTAATAATAATCAGTGCTACTTATACAAAACCCAAAAAATGTAACACTATGGATTTGGACTCTAAAACACTAGAGACCAAGTTAAAAAAGATATTCTTGAAGTACCTTATTCAGTTTAACCAATAGAAATTGTCATCATTATATCCATCTGGCTCTTGGATGTTTTCACCAAAAGGTAAGTTTAAAAAAAAGGGGTGATACACAGGTAAAATAGCGTTTTTGCCACAAAGGATCTTCAAATGATCATATTTTTTTTAGTTAACGGTATTAGTTCCTTGTAAAGCTGTAAGGCTATAAATGAATTTCATTAATATTTACTCCAATGGATTTTCTTCCTCTTTTTAAAATGCAAATTTTTTTAAATTCGTTTTCATCTTTATAACTGTTTTTATAAAAAATTATATTTGGCTCTTCTGGATCGGTTTTTACAATTTTTATTTCACTCCAGTAAACTTTGTCGTTTGTGTCTTTCTTATCCCAATTTATAGAAGCTACTTCGGTTAACTTCTTAAGGTCAAATATGCTTTGCTGGCTCATTTCAACTACAACATATGAATTTTTTCTTTTTGATGCCCTGACGAGACTGAACCATTGATCTGGAGTGTATACTGGAATATTTCGAGCGACCTTCTCAATGACGCTGTGAACAGAATCACCTTCATTGTGTGTGTGGCCCCGCTCTAAGAAGGTGTGGCAAATTTTGATTGAATATTTTTGTGCCAGATAAATATAAAGAGAAAACAAAAATTTGTTCTTGTTCTGCCCTGGGCAGTTATCGGAAAAAAATGAAAATTCTTTGATTCCTTTTCGCACATGATGTTCAATAAAAAGCGTAAGACCACTACCAATTTCCGACGACCCTCTTTTTCCTACGCATTCATGCCACATGTAGCAAAATGCCTCCTTTGATGCCAAATTGAAAACTGTGAACTTGAATGTCGATAATTTTAATTTATAATAGGTGACGCCGACCTCTGTCTTGGGTGCTGGCAATACTTGCTGATAGTCGAATACTGCTGCACAAAATGAAGGGTTTGCTTTAGCTTTCTCTTTATCAGCATTCTTAAGACTTCGAGCTAAGTTCTTGTTTTCTATATGCTGTTGATATGCTTGCTCCATTCTAAGTTTTTCGTCAGTCAAACTGTTTTCGTAGCTGTGACAAACGTCACAGAGGTCTTTCTTTGGCAGAAAGAAAGAAATGTTGAATTCGGTTGTGAAAATGTGTCTATACATACTTTCTGTAGCTCTCCTTTCAATGTTATTATCTAGACAGAATTCTTCATACAGAGCATACATTTTACAAACATTTAGTGTTGGAGGTAAGTATTTTCGCTCCGTTTTCTGTCTGCAGTAATGGCTATCAATGGTTTCAAACAACATGATGTGGTTACGAACTGATTGTTTCACTGACTCGTCCAACATGGAATTTTTACAGGCTTTACCTCTTTGATCTTCCTTGATATATCCAGCAGAATTCATTTTGTTAAAAACTGTTCGAACTGTTTGGGCACTAATACATAGAGTATTCAAAAAAAATGTTTTGCAGACTTGGATCTTTGATGTTTCAGTTTGTAAATGGTAAACGAAAGTAAAACTTCTTCTACTATTATTCTCAATTTCATCTTGCTCCTCGTTATTTTTACTTTTACGTTGTCCGTTGTCGACACCTCGCCTTTGTATTACATTGCACATATTTTGATATATAATGTATTTGACGACTTATATCTTTCAAATCCCAAAATGTTTTAAAAATTATATTTCTTTGTTCCTCGTTCATTCTTTGAAAACATTTTAATCTACAGTTATTACACGCCTCTTTAATTCTTCTCTCTGGTCTTTTTTTACCTTTCCAATCCGTATAAGCTTTTCCACTATTTCTCAATCTCTTGATTTTATTTCTTTGCCAATTATCCGAATTCCGAAGACGCTTACGCACTCTTCTTTTTTCTTGTGGATCCGACGATGACGTTGAATGATCAGAAATAGAATCTTGCAACTTTGTTTTTTTTTTTTAATTTCAAAATCAGGGTCTTCATCTGAATTATCTCCCCCAAAAGGATCGCTTTCCGAAGAAGATATACTCAAATCTTCATCCAGAGTATTTGAAATTTTAGGTATACCACCTACAGTAGAATCAGTCAAGTTTGTTGTATTTAATGTACTGGGAATAGGACGTCCATTTTGCTTTGCTGCCGTCTCTTCCACAATATCCTAAAATTCAAAACGTACAATATGTATTTTAGATATTTGCTACTTAACTAGCATTTTTAGCCATATTTTCAAATGCTAAATTTAAAAGCTGGTGATTTCGGGCAGGTATTGTTCCAACGGAAAAAGCAAGTCACGATATAAAACAAAACAACAAAAATCCTATCTATACTTCACTATTTGCTTACCGGTTGATATTCGGCAACACTTGAGGTATATGATGCGCTGGGTAGGGTATTTTCTTTTTGGATGTCTAACACCTCAACCGACAACGTGTGCGTCATACCACCAACATTTTTATTTAAGGCAGGAATGGAAGCCAATATACACCTATTATCACACGTCGGGCTTTTTTCACCTGAAGCAAAAAACAAAATTTCATTTGTTGTTTGAGAATTCAAAAATGAAAAAGGCCGAATGTTTGCTTATGTTGTACTTACATTGGGAGGCAAATGATTGACAAAACTGTGTATTGTCAAGTGATATTGAAGTCCAAATGGAATCATCTCGTATTGTAGATGTTTCATTTGCTAGTAAATAGGTAGGAGGCTGCTGATTGGAGGAACAATCCATCAAATAAGACCCATCTTTTATAGTCGGTTTTTCCAATTTTTTAACATTTAGCATTTGTAGAGGTACCCTTTTTGCAGGACTTTTGTGGGCATCTAAAATATATTCAATAAATAAAAAAAACATTTAATGGAAAATAATGATACTTGCGAACTTAAAATATATAAAATTAAAAACTACTGTATTAAAGAGCTTTCAGTTATAATTATTTTGTATTCGTTGCTTTGAAATGATATCAAAATTCGAAATAACTTACCTGCAGATTTGTCTTTTTTAATTAAATCAAGAATTTTTTGTCCTCTTGATGGAATCATTTTTCTCTTGACTCTTCAAATATTATTTCACGTATTTTTATTTAAACGTAAACAAGTCTATATCCACAAAACAGTATTCTAAGTATTCGATCACAAGTCAGAACTAGTATAGTAGTATATTTATGTCCTCTGTCTTACCCGCGACAATTAATCGACGTGCACGCCGCCGTAGTTGACATAGTTCTGCTCTCAGCTGAACGCTGAACTTTATTTGGAAAGATAGGTTCATTTTTCATTCGGCAATTTCCGGGGCTAGTCGTATGCGTGGACATAGAATACTTGTGCAGCAGAAAGCGCAGCTCTTATAATGTACATAGGAATCAAAAAACGAAAATGGACATTTTTGGACATAGAATAGTTCTGCTCTAAGGGGACGACTGGGACAGTGTACAGTGAATACAATTATTTCTTATCCCTCTCATTTTTCAAATTCAGCAAATTTGTATATGTAATTTCCAGAATGGATAAGAAAAAGTGGATGCGCACCTAATTTTTAGCTTTGAATCTCAAGTAAGTGTATTTGGGACAAGAATCCAAAGGAATTATCATCAACATTGCCGTTACCTTCAGTAATGCCATCTCTGAAGCAGATTTTACATCACATCATAGCCAAACATTGATAACTGAAGCCTCATGACGTTTAGGCAACATGTAGGTACTTACAACTAAAAAACGAGTTCGCAAGAGTGTCTATCAGCTAGTGCTAAGTTAACATCTTGTCGAAAAACCTACATAATGTCAAAAAAAAACAATATGTCAAAAAAATCGATATATCGTCATTTTTCAAGATACATAATACCCGTGCCGCTCTTCAATTGCCACAAGGACATTCGCTCTCAGAATCACTGATGCAGGCGACTTCCCTCCGCGCTCTTATATTTTCAATTTTCGGCACAGCCCGCCGCTCTTCTATTTTCAATTACACCACCCCCGTTCTCCCAAATTGTCACGCAGTTGTGGAGTAAACTCAACCAGTCTTATGGTGATGCTCATGTCGTTGATCTTGATATCACGAAAGCTTTCGATAAGCTGTTCTCTTATGCAAACATGATCGACTTTCTCTCTGGCCGCAAGGTATCCATCATAATTGACGGGTTCTCCTCTTCATCCCACAACGTCAACTCGGTTGTTCCCCAGGGATCGGTGTTGGCTCCGACTCTGTTCCTCTTACATATCAACGACCTACTTACCTCTTCGATCAATCTAATCCACAGCAGGATTTCACATCGACAAGCCGATCTTTGCCGGTGAGCTGAAAAAAAGAAGACAAGCAGCAGCTTCCTCTCTGACGAGGGACCTGGAGGTTATGAATGCTTAGGGCGCAACAATCTTGTACAGTTTAACGCTTCCAAAACAAAGTTCTTTAACTTGACGAACAAAACGCGTCCTAGCGCTCACCGGTTCCGATGGATGGTCGAGTTCTGCCAAAGAGCCGTTCATTTCAGCTGGTCGGGGTCGAGATCACCGAGGACTTGATCTGGTACGAACACATCTCGTCAAGAGCTGCAGTTGCTAGGAAAAAGCTAGGCAATTTGTTTAGATCAAGAAGCACTTTTCTCCACATGGTCTCCTCACTCTATACAACTCTCAGATAAGACCTAGCTCCGAGTATTGCTCACACGTTTCGGGTAACAGACAGTCTCGCCACCTTTTCGCACCGGCGGGTCATCGGCGTGATCTTCCTGTCAGACAGACTCGCCTGACGTCGACCTCCCATCCTAATCGTGTCGAACTTCGTACATCCAGAACTGGGCACAGGCCGATATGACCGCAGGTGTCGAGATTATGGAACATTCTACAAGAGGACGCTTTTCCCAGTTATATTAACCTTAGGCAGTTCAAAAATCGGATTAACAAAGTTTATTTGGGATTTTCATAACAGCCGCGGAATCATGGTATTTAGGCTTCGGTATAAAAAAATAAGGGCATTAGTTCTAAGACGCACTGATGCAGCAGATGACCGACTCCGATACCCCCGGTCTTAAATTTCCAATCACAGATATCTCCACCCCGCGTCTTGCCCCCGAGACGGATAAAAAACAAAGTTAGGATTACTTATGCGATGGTATATTATATTTTATGGAGGAGCGTGTGTATGAAAAAAGCTTCAGGAAAGGCATTGTCGCGCGCACACGTCCTGTTAACAAACCCAATTGCTGGCCCTCCATTGAAGATCAATCGTGCGACGTCAGTCCGACAATGGTCCACAATGGCCCTCCATAGGAGCTCGTCGTATGTCTCTATCCAGGGGGCGCCACCCGACGACTTTTCTAATGGCCCACTTGACTCCTCCTGGAGCACCCCGTCTATCGCCGCTCGTTATTCTAAAATATAAGTGCCTATTTAATCGAGAAGAATCCTATATGAAAAAGATGAGTCAGAACGAGTCATGTAACACAAGCTACTTATTTGGATATTTCAACATCTTGAAATCTGAACAGTTGGTTAGTAAATGTCCCTTGCTGTATTTTTTACTGTTGGTTATAGTAAATCTGCTGAAATTCAGTAGCGTATCAATACAAATTACTAATCTATCTAACCTAATTACTTTATGCGCAGACGTTCTCGTAAAACCGTTTTATAACCCAGCAAACACTTTTGATCTAACAAAAAAAAAGTTGGATGAAAATTTGGATTTAGGTTATTGAAATTTTCTTCCACAGTCTGGCGGAAAGGTTCTCAAGACAATTTTTCAGCCTAGTGTTATAAGTTGCCTCTGGGATATTTTCATTACTACGTTCGTTTACTAGATAGCCAATTTCCTTCGAGCTGTCATAGGCCATGCGTATATGGGATTTTGAAGCCATCTGAAATAATAGATTTTGGGCAATTTACCAAACCTCGTATTTAATGAAACTTATAAAATATTTATACAAAAAGAGCTGAATTTTACAGTGCATGTATCAAAATTGCTCTTAATGATAGTCGGAAAAATAAATTTCAACGCGACCAAACTATTTTTTAAGTTCAATGATGATCTTTTCAAAATCATCATAGCGAAACATCATTTTTGATTTTCATTTCCCATTTGTCGTAAAAGTATCTACTGCGAAAGACTGCACTAACAATATCTGATGGTATACAAATATCATCAATGCATCGATCTTTGAATACATGAAACATTAGCACAGATTATAACATTACTCTATCATGCCAGGACCGTATTTACAGGGTGGCCTTAAGAACGATGGATATGCTAAAATTTATGCCTTCTGCATATGTTACTATATTTGGAACGACGCTTCTGTATCATTGTTCGCTGCCACTACTAATAAGCTTCACTCTAAAGTAGTAGACTCTATGGGTCACTTTTTGAGGTGGTGTCATCGCGATCAACAGACTGTTGATGAATCAAACTAAATGCGTCTTTGATGATTTTACCATCTGTAGACGTATCACAGAAGACAAAATATTGCTCAGTACTATCGGGACATTTTTGTTTCCGTTATCAAACATGTTGATTTCGTATCGAACAATCTGAGTAAAGCCTTTTACGCCTTGTTGCAGTTTAAAGGTATACTTAACAATAAGGACTTGCTCAGTTCAGTGCCTACTTTGCGCTTGCATAGTCACCTGTTACACAATGTCATGATATGGGGCTAACTCCATCAGAAACGATTCCTGAGACTAATCTCTAACATAGAGCCTACCAAACGTTGCAAAGGGGTTTTTAAGCAGAACAACATTCTTACACTTTCTTCTGTTTATTTCCTGACCTGTCACAAAATCATCAATATAATAATCAATAGAGACTCATTAGACTCATTCAGAGGCATTCTAGCTCAAGCTCAAAAAAACGCTCCTTTTCACAATTACGGTTTACAGTGGCGGCTCGTGGCAAAATAAAGCAGGAGTTCTGCAAATCCGAACTTACCTATTTTTTATATATCATCTCGATCCTGCGCTGCTTCTTGGCAGCAAATTTGTCGATCACCTTCCCGTTGAAATTTTCCATGGTCGAAATAAATTCCTTTTCAATGGACAGCATCGACAACGCTGTAAGACGATCCTGAGTAATGTTGGGAAATTTCGTCCAGCCTCTGATGTTGACATAGAAGTTGTAACAATAATTTCTAATAGCTTTTTTGTTTATTTTAGTGTTTCCTCCAAACTATTTTGTACCAAAAATTTCAAAAGAGACAGAGTTCCATGTAAATCTCAGCAATCATTCTGTGCATAAATAACAGACAACTCTGTCTTTAAACGACTTTTTTCTAATTCGGGATAAGCCAAGCAGGTAGTTTCCAACTTGTCATCAGGAAGCTTACCACAGTATTCTCCAAAGTGTTCGGGGAAAAAAAGGATGCGGCTACCAAATGATCTTTGAATTGAAATCTGTCATTTGCAGAATTCACTATACCTATTATCGCATACTTCTAATGCGGCAACTCGGTGATCGTGACTGCTATTATTACGTCGTCTTCTTTTGTTGCCTGGGGGTTCAGTGCAAATATTTTTGGCTTTATTTATTATGTGGTCAATTTTATTTCTCACATCGACAATACATTTTTCAAAATTATCGATAGCCGTTTTAACTTGCGCTGGCCAAAACACGAAAACATAATCGTTTAACATACGGCGAATACCGCAAGCTGCCTTGCAAACGGTTTGATTAGTGACATTTTCTTCTAATTCCTCCATGCATTCAGTGAGTGATTCTCGGTTCTCAAACACTACATTAATTTATTGTTCGAATATTAAAATTCCAACGAGTTGTTGCTCCTTGGGGAATTTTTTCCCCACAATTCTGTTCAGTACCTCTACGCGTTGAGGAAAATTATTAAAAAAATCCCGGAATATCTTTCAAGTCCCCAAAGAACTTGAGCATTTGCGGAAGCAGCTTGGGACATAATCAGGTTTAACTGATGCGCGTAGCAATGCACATAGTGAGCAAATGGATATCTTTGTTTAATTTTTGCCTGTACTCCAGTATTATGTCCGCTCATTGCCGCGGCTCCATCATAACTTTGTGAAATCAGTTTGTCAGGTAAATTTCCTATTAATGGATCAACGACGCTCAAAATATGTCTTGTGAGAGTATCAGTGTCACATTTTTCGGGATTCATATAATTCCAGAAACGTTCAACTGGTTCGCCGTTAAATACGTATCTGCAAATTGTTACCAGTTCGGCTTTCCTCGAAATGTTCGTTGTTTCATCTGCTATTATAACCAAATACGAGGCTCTGTTAATCTGTTTTATTAGTTCTTCATGACACTTCAAGAATACAATCCAGTAAATCGTTTTGTATTTCTTTCGAAGTTCCTTTAAATATTGAAGCATTTTTTATGTGTTCGCTTAAGGTTGTATCAAGCTCAGCAGAAAAATTAATCTGTCCACGAAATATTCCCGGGTTTTGGGAGCTCTCGGTTTCGTCGTGGCCTCGTAGCGCCAATTCAAATGCTCCGCAGAATTTTATGCAATCGATTATTTTTGATAGAACGTACCTGTTTTTTGTAACTGTATCATTATGCTGTTGTAGGGTAAGGTTGCCTATATTGGACCGGCTCCTTAATTGGACCTTTGCAGATTTGAGCGAACCGACAACAAGTGGTGCCATCCGTTAATACCAACTAGAACTACATCCCGAAAACTGCTAGAGTTTCAACACGTGTGCAGCTGTAAACAACGGTTAAGAAAATATAAGTGTTTACGACATTATTTAACTTTCGATACAAAGATACTACTACTTACCGTTCAAGTAAGTAATCACAACATTTATAATATCTTTATTTCTCAAGATTCATTAAAGAGGTCATAGTTTAGGGATTATTTTCGTGACCTAACCTCCAAATTGGTAAAACCCGTTGTGGGTGAAATTTGATATTGTTTAGTTTTAGAACAAGGTTTCCTAAATTGGATCAGCAATTGACTTGTAAATTGGACCGGTCCAATTTAGGCAACCGTATATTGTGAATTAAACCAGTCCCATTTAGTTCTTGATAGATTTTTTTTTCAGAATGTCATCACGTGGTAAATACGGCAAGTGGAGCACAGAAGATTTGAGCAGTGCTATTTCCGCTTTTCGTAATGGTTCTTATGGGCTGAATGAATGTGCAAGGTTGTTTAAAGTACCTAAAGCTACACTAAAAAGACATCTCGAAAAGAAAAACAAACGTGTAAATGATGCAATTAAAAAAATGGGCAGGTTTAGTGTATTTAATGAAGAAGTTGAAGCAGAATTGGCTAAGCATATTTTGATTTTCGAAGAGCGAATGTTCGAGATGGGCATACGAGACGTCCGCAAACTGGCATTTGAATTGGCAACAAGAAACAATTTGAAACACAATTTCAACACAGATAAACGTATGGCAGGTAAGAAGTGGTATTATGGCTTCATGTCAAGACATAAAGAAATATCGTTACGGCAGCCGGAGAAGACATCAATGGCAAGGGCTGCAGGATTTAGCAAAGCACGAGTTGATGAATTCTATGAGCTTTTAAAAACGATCTGTGAAGAGGATAAATTTACCGCCACACGCATATTCAACGTCGATGAGACAGGTTGCTCAACCGTACAACGGCAATGTCAGAAAATATTAGCCAAGAAGGGAAAACATCAAATTGGGAGTATTTCTAGTGGAGAGAGGGGGGTAAATACTACTGTGGTTTGTTGTGCAAGTGCAGCAGGGCAGTTTGTACCACCCATGATAATTTTTAAGAGGAAACGTTTTCAAGAGGAACTTTCATTAGGTGCTCCGCCTGGCAGCATTGTCACTATTAGCGATACTGGATATATCAATAGCGATCTTTTTGTGACATGGCTTAATCATTTCATTGAAACAGTTAAGCCAAGCCCTGACGCTCCTGTTTTGCTATTGTTGGACGGCCACAGCACCCACAGTAAAAACCTAAAAGCTCTACGGATTACCAGGGATAATGGAATTAGATTATTGCAGTTACCCAGTCACACCACACATAGACTTCAACCGTTGGATGTTGGATTCTTCAGAGCCTTTCAAAATGTTTATAGACAATGCATTCAAAAATGGTTGCGGAATAACGTGGGTCGCACTGTATCAATGTTTCAGGTTTCCGTTATAATTGGAGAGGCTTATGGGCTTGCTGCAACAGTGAGAAATGCACAGAACGCTTTTCGTGCTAGTGGCATTTGGCCTATAGATGAAAATGTTTTTAAAGAAACTGATTTTGCAGCTTCAATGATGTTTGACAAAGCATCAAACTCTAACCATGAATCCCAACAGGAAGCCTCTTCTGAAGAAGATAATATTCCATTGGCGCAAGTCGTATTACGAACGAAGAGAGCAGCATCAACTTCCCTAAATATTTCAGTTCAGGATATTTCGCCATTACCTATAAAGAAATCAAAATCATCAAAAGTTTGCCGCACCCAGGACGCAGTTGAATTGACTAGTTCTCCGTACAAAAACGAACTTGAAGCAAGAGCTGAGGCATCTAAAGTAAATTCGGTTAAAACTACTTCAAAATTGTCGAAAATTGGTTGTGAAAAAGAGGTAGTAAATTTAGGTGTAGCTAAATCTGACAGCTGGTATTGTGAAATATGCGAGTCTGAATCAGTCGAAGTAATGATCCAGTGTCTTAAATGTAAAATTTCATTTCATGCAAAATGTGCCAATGTATCGCTAAGAACTAAGATATTTTATTGTTCAAATTGTAAAACTTAAAATTATTGAGATTCATAATATTACATGACAATACATACAGATTTTTTACATTTAGGTTAAGTTTATCCGTTACAAAACGGTGAATATTAGTTTATGTTATGTTAATATATATTTTTTAACCCGTTCCTCATTTTTAAATATAGGTTTTTAACATCGGTTCAATTTAGGGCGCTAATGGTCCAATTAAGGATGCCGGTATCCCAAATTGGACTTTTGTTTATATTTCTTTCATTTGAAAAATAAAATATTATGAACTACCATGTATCTATTATTTGTGAATTTTTGGAATATAAACAGTATTTAGTAAATGATTTTTATGATAATATTTTGAAATATTTATTAACATGTGTAATACAACAGATATTTGAAAAGTGGTCCAAATTAGGAAACCTTACCCTATATTTCTCCAATATGCTGAATCTAACTGAGCTCTGATGTTAACAGTCCCCAATAAAGCCAATTCCATCGAATTATGAAGATGTGTTTTAGAGTTTTCATGCTTCTTAATTTTTTCACTCAGGTGCACTAAATCTGTAACACCTACCTCCGTCCAAGCTTTGTCGCCGCCGAAAAGTATGCAAGGAAAGCAGGAAAGGGGATTCTTCCTGTTGCACTCACAAATCCAGTCATGTCTGGTCTAAATCTCCCTGCTGAAATACCGCGTATAGCCCTTGCCCCGACTAACGCCCTGTGTGTCTACAAATATGTCCGGCAGCGGTCGACTTGACACCTTCAGCGCAATTTTTTTTTCATATGTGTATATCCCCCAACTAACAATTATCACTCCTATTAGAGTTGCTAGAATGATTATACAGTATTCCTTACACAGCATTGTATACTGTAAGAACATTGGCAAAACCCTCTTAGAACAGCTATACAAGCGGAATGGGCGCACCTAATAGGACACTTCAGTCATTTAAGAGGTTGAAGGTAACAGTTATACAACAAAAGTGTAAGCCTCTTGCAGCCGCTATAGGATATTTGCGTCAGTGCAAGATTCAGTTTTTGTCAACTATACAACTATTATGTTACGTGATTCTACTTTATTGCAACCAAACTATTTCTTATGTATTGTATAGACGAAGTGAAGAATATATGACTAACACATTACAGTCATCTTGTTTACTTACATATCGGCCATTGTGAATTTCATAGACAGGTATATGATAAACTTCTACACTGTGATATAGGGCTATTGAATTACTTGCGCAGCAAATTTTATTGTGATTATCGTGCAAAGTAGTTACGCAACTTCTACGGGCTTCGTATTTGATTCATATTTTAATAATGATCAAAAGTATGTCTAGATTTTCAAGATGGAAAACTGACCTTACCTGCGTTAAATCGTTTATCACTTTATATCTGTAATTTCGAGCTGAAACATAATTATTTAATATTAAATAGAGGAATACATGTTTGCACAATATGGCGGGTGGTTGTGTATATTCATGGCATCGTCCATGTTGTCTTTAGTTTATTAGAATATTTTGGAGTTGCCTGTAGGTGTTATACAACAATTTGACAAATGTCTGAAATGAAATATACCGACAGATTCGAATGATTTACCCAGAATTTGTACCATATCTATATCTTCTGTTTTAACAGTTGATAAAACCTTTTGAACCCATATGCATGCGTTGTTTGTCTTAAAACATTGGTTATGGCATTTTAACAGAAAGATGACAGCAGAAAGTTAGGTTATGGTGAAGTTGTATACCAGCATATTTAACAACAAATGTATGCCGAGCACCGCAATTCTGTACTACGAAAATTGTAATATTGTTGCATATGTACAGCCTTCAACAGTTACTAAACAACAGTTGTATAAGTGCTTCTGTTGGGAGCAATTTGTTGGCTAAAGTAGTAAATTTGCACAGCAAAACAACAAGGCTCGGGTTTGTTTTATAAACGTTACCATGGATGCCACAACACAACTATTTTGACTAACGTGCAAATATGCCGTATAAAATAGTTGTATAAACGTTTATGCAACAGTTAAAAATTTGTCCTATAATGTGTTGTATAACTATACTATAAGAATATTTTGAACACCTCATTTTAGAGCAAATATATTGCAGAAAGCAAATTTGCATTCCACTCAACATTAAGCCAGCATTTTGGTGTTCAGGCAACAACAATAGAGAGCTTTTATGGCTGAACGGTTCTTTTACCAAAAGCTTATAGCACTACTATGCTAGTTGGGCCATAACCGTTTCACGCTGATAAGTCTGTAAACCACATCCATTATCTTGCACTGCCCTTCTACACAGCCACAGTCAGTCAGTGAGTCACTAGTCACTCAACGTAGGACCTAAAATACCTAAATAAAAAAATTTTCACATTCAAATTTTAAGCCACGTCACGCGACAAGACTAATATGTCAATACCGCCGAGGGACGAGCACTGACCGACCAATCAGGTATCGTACTTCACATTAGATCTATACGGATCTGTATAACCTGCAGCACATGCTTATGCTTAAATCGCGCATTTGATTTTGTAGAGAGAGACAAAAGCAAGCGCGTGCGGCTTGTGTCGAAGTAGTGCACAGACCCTTTTCAAGTGGCCCATGAATAATGTTACTCTGCGGTCGCGACGAACATGACAAGTACACAATTGGTCGAATATAATGCTTTCTCAGTACAAAACAGACTCGACGCCGTGTCTTGCGGGGGCAGCGTTGCCGGTATTGTTTCTAATTGTGTGATACGAGGGATGTCTTTTAAGTTTTGCATATACAAACATAGTAGGCCATGCGGATCGAACGTCAGTACTGAATCTTAACCTCACTCTTTAGTAAACTTAAATTCAAAGTTTCACAACAATACGTGCAGTGAATTTTAAAGTGTCACCAAGTAATTAGAAAAATGGAACTCAACCGAGAACATTTTCGCGCCGTAATTTATTACAACTTTCAGTGACAATTATCGCAACAAGAATGCCTTGCTGAGTTACTGTCTGTTTTCGGCAACGAAGCGCCACGTCACTCGACAATTTTCCGTTGGTATGGAGAATTCAAACGTGGACGGGTAAGTCTTAGCGACAATCCCAGGGTAGGTGCACCCAAAAACGGCAGTAACCCAGGAAAACGTCCATGCTGTGCGCAAACTCATCAGTGAAGATAGACATGTGACATATCGCGAGGTTGAGGCGTCCTTCAAGATCTCAAAGACCTCAATTCAAAAAGATTTACATGAAGAATTAGGAGTAAGAAAATTAGTTTCTCGTTGGATACCCCACCTGTTGACTGAAGAGCAGAAAGCAGCCAGGGTTAATTGGTGTCAAAAAACACTTGACCGTTTCAATTCCGGAAACTCAAAAAATGTGTACAGCATTGTTAGTGGTGATGAATCGTGGTTTTACTGTTATGAACCAGAAAATAAACGACAGTCGGCTGTTTGGGTATTCCAAGATGAAGAAAAGCCAACAAAAGTCCAGTCACCAGAAGAAGCAGTTGACGCATTCAAAAATGCGGTTTTGGATCTGCCAGCAAACGAGTGGAATAAGTGCTTCGAAAATTGGTTCGAGCGCATGCAGATGTGTATTAATCTTCGTGGAGAATACTTCGAAAAACAATAAAGTCATTTAAAACTACCTACCGTGTTGTTTTATTTCCATATGCAAAACTTAAAAGACATCCCTCGTAACATGGAAAATAAATAATGATCAAATTACTACTGGTTTTTTCTGTTAAGATAAAAGTTTTGGCAGTTCTGCAGCTCTGCAGAACTTAAGGGCCAGCCGCCCCGTCGGTTTACATCACAGTATTAGGGCCGTCAAAAGCTACATCAAAATCAGAACGGATGCTAAAAGCTTTCTCACGCGACACACATTGAAGTCTAGCCTGTATTGTTTATTTACTTGATCCCGATAACTAAAACAAGGAAATATCGCGGATGACTAAAGATGCTCTTTGATTTGACATGATTCTGTGCTCAATTGCGAGTTCATCGAAGGCTTCATACACAGACGGGTCCTAAGTGATCTACGAGTATGTATCGGTGATCGCTAGCATCAAATTATCTCTTTTATTTCAGTGTCAGATACTCCAATGTTTGTTATTGGCGAATCAAATTTTCACTGCTCCAACGTGGGTAGACGTTTACCACTGGAATCATTTACTATTTTCACTGGACCAGGCGATTAGAGGAAATAGACATGAGTTGCGACGCAATAACGTTATGACCACAGAAATTATACGCACTCGAAACTGTGCATTCATTTATATCACAGTTAATACGATATACTTTTAGGTAAGTGGCTTTTATCTGGTGTCACAAAGTTACTATATTTTACTTAGCCGTTTAGCATATTACTATTTTCATCTATGCTTTTACTTGTATGTTACCTCTTCACAAGCATGGATTGAATACACGTACAGTAGTATAATCCAGTCGTGAAATGTCTCCAATAGGAGTAGCGACATTTGTATTTTTGACGAAATACCAAGGTGTCATTTATTTGAAAGTAGATTGAGATACACATATATTTTTTTTTATTCAACTATCCGCTTCAACCTTATGGTCATTAGCGGTGGAATTGATTATATTTTATATATAAAGATAGTGGCTTTCAGAAAATTTACAAGATTTGCTATGCTACATTTTGGACCTAGAATTCCTATCAGAGTGTTTTCTAAGTTGAACGTTATTCTATACACTTCAAGCATTGGGCACTCCACTAGAATGTACTTCACTGTTAACTGCACGTCACAAATTTCACAAATAGGCACAGGTTCTTGGGCTAGAAGATATCCGTGGGTGGCTCGTGTGTGT